CTATCTATCTATCTATCTATCTATCTATCTATCTATCTATCTATCTATATTATTTGTAGCAGAACTCCCTACCTCCTGACTTCAACTCAGTAATTATGACAATGAGTATTATAATGATGCCCATGAAGGCAACAATGACTTCTGTGGTTGTAATTTATTGAGTCTATGACCAGTACATAATACACATTATTTATGTTTTACATTCTCCACCACCAAAAGGTAGGTACTTCCACTCTGTGGGATAAAAATGTGGCAGTCTGTTTCCATAAATATTTACAGCTTTGGTAACACTATAGCACACTTTTCAACTATCCTATAGGTTCTCTGTGAGTTAGAATTGATTCATGGCAGTGGGTTTGATTTGGGATTTATTATAACTGTGAAAGGGAAATACTATGATCTCCACTTTAAAAGTAAGGGAAAGTGAGACTCAGAGAGCATAAATAATTTGAACAAAGCCACAACAGTTAGTAAGTGACAGAACCAGGATTTGACCTCTAATATACCATGACACATAAACATTGATATCTTAGGCATTAGTGAGCTGAAATTGACTGGTATTGGCCATTTTGAATCTGACAACCACATGGTTTACTATGCTGGGAATGACAAATTGAAGAGGAATGGTGTTGCATTCATTGTCAAAAAGAACATATCCACATCAGTCATGAGGAACAATGAAATCTGTGATAGGATAATATGCATGAGCCTACAGGGAAGCCCAGTTAATACCACTATTACTCAAATTTATGAACCAACCACTAAAGACATTGAGGATGAACTAGAAGAATTCTACCAACTTCTTCAATCTGAAATTGATCAAACATGCAATCAAGATAATATTGATAATCACTGGTGATTGAAATGCAAAGGTTGGAAACAAAGAGGAAGAATAAGGAGTTGGAAAATATGGCCTTGGTGATAGAAATGATACTGGAGATCGCATGATAGAATTCTGCAAAACCAATGATTTATTCATTCCAAATACCTTTTTAAACAGCATTAAAGAAGACTATACTCATAAACCTCACCAAATGGAATACACAGAAATCCAATTGACTACATCTGTGGAAAGAGACAGTGGGAAAGCTCCATATTATCAGCCAAAAGAAGGCCAGGGGCAGATTGTGGAAAAGAACACCATTAGCTCCTATGCAAATTCAGACTAAAGCTGAAAAAAATGAAAACAAGCCCATGAGAGTCAAAATATGACCTTGAATATATCCCACCTGAATTTCTATATCATCTGAAGAACAGATTTGATACATTGGACACTAAACCGAAAACCAGAAGAGTTGTGAGACGACATCAAGAACATCATACAGGAAGAAAGCAAAAAGTCATTAAGAAGGTTTAGAGTTCTCTCAGGATTTGAGTTTTGGGAACGTGGTAGCACTGTGAGTGTGCCCGACGTGGGCACCAGTTTCTGGTTGTTCGATACTGACCCCCGCATTCAACCTCAGCCAGGATACCGACTTCCTCACCATTGCTATCCGTGTGCCCTATGTTGGAGTGTCCGAGTTTGATGTCTATTTCAGGGGAGTCGATTTCAAGTTCTATGCCAACCATCTTTTCTAAGGAATGTTTACCATTCGATTGTCCAAAGAGACTCCTGGTCAACATTTTGAGGGACTGAACATGCTGACTGCTCTCCTTGCACCCAGAAAATCCAGGAATGTGAAGCCACTTGTGGACCAAGTAGGTGCTTCTGGGGTTTCTGAGGAAGGAGTAGAAGTAGAAGATGATGACGAAGAATTTGATTGGAAAATTGAACAGTCCCTCTATGAGGAGGTATGAGAAGGCGCTTTGAATCCGCAATGCCACTATAGATTTGGCAACTAACGATCAGGCGTGTTTCAGCAGTTACTGAAACAGGATGAACAGTTTCTTAACTGGATAGAGTATTAAACCTGTTTATACAAAATCCAAATCCACTGCCAGTGAGAGGATTCCAGTTCAGACTGACCTTATACAGAGTTGCTGAGACTGTAAGTCTTTATGGGAGCAGATAATCTCATTGTTTCCCATGGAGCGATTGGTGGGTTTGAACTGCCAATTCTTCAGTTAGCAGCCCAATGCTTAACCCGCAGCACCACCAAGACTCCCTGTACCTGTTAGAGTATAGTGTATTTTTTAACAGCATTTGTGACTCTACCAAGGAAAAGTGAAGGACCCAAGTTCTGGTCCAATGTCTTCCTCTGTTTAGTTTTGTGATACCATGCCCATTATTTCTACCATTATTAAGTTTCATCTCTTTATAATGGGGATAAACTTGACCACTTATTTCACACAGTGGTTTTGAAAATTTAATGAGATACTACTTGTGAGAACTTTTGGAAAAGTTAAAGGTGCTATAAAGATCTATGCTCTTGAAAAATAAATACGCTACCCAGATTCTTTAACTGCGACAGAATTGAAAGTCTACAGGAGCAGATAATGCTGATGAAATATTTCCTTCAAAAGCCTTAGATGTTTTTCTGCTGAATTATGGTCTCCTCATATTCTCTCTCTCCGGAATCACATTCCAAGGTGATCTCTGAGATACTGAGAATAGAACCATCTTTGTCTAGAGCAGCCACTATAATGAGTGGACCCCGGTTGTTTGGTCAAGGGCTTGAGTGTGATCAGTCTGTTTGGGGCTTGCCAGTCTAAAGCTATAAACACATGATAGTAAATGCCACACAGGCTAAGTACAGATTGTACATTCAGATTAAAAGTGCTTACTGAGGCCAGGGACTGTGCTGCTGGTGTTTATGGGTGATGCTTTGAGGTTTTCTGACTGGTTGATGTTAAGATGAAGAATGCCAGACAATGAGGCAGGTCAAATCTTTGTTAGAACAGAAGTTTTTGTATTTCTGTTGAAAATGTTCACTAAGTATGTAGTTTAGCTTTGAAAAAAAA